AAATATTTTTGTTTTTTAGGTAATGGAAATAATTCACACCCAATCAGAAATTTGATCCTTTAAAACAACAGAATATAAACGAAGGGCAGTAAGGTCAATTCAAGGTTCTGAAGAACTTCCAGGATGGATTTCCTTATTTATCAGCAATTCTCTCGTCATTTACGAAGTTCCAAAATAATTCAATGCCGGTGGGATGTAGTGTGTAGACATGCGACTTGTGCCAATGTTTTTATCCTTATCGACTTCATACCGTCATAGATTTGAACAACCTATCCATCTACTCTCTCTATCTCTTACCGTCTTTTCTTTTAAATAATAAGGATGTCTGGATCAATTTATATATACCTCGATTAATACATTTCGCGATTCGGTCAAAAACAAGTCATTTACACCGAAATTAAGATATTCATGAGAAATAAACTTTTCATGACTTGACCCCAAAGAATTGTCAAATTTAAACTCAAAATATCTGAATTTACATCTCGTTTCTGTTATCACTTGAGGTACCTTTAGAATTTTCTATCTCTCACTCTCGAGTTATCAAAAAGTCATAATCTTGGTCCAACTAAAAATTCAATTTGATTTTCTATCTCTCACTCTCGAGTTGTCAAAAAGTCATAATCTTGGTCCAACTAAAAATTCAATTTGATGACAACAAAGTAACTTTTGAAATCAATCAAGATATTTTTTTTTGAGATTTGAACTTAAAACTGGGCTATCTCACGTCGAATAGCTTCGGGTGTGTGTGTATTTATAAGTCTCCACTTGACCTTTACTCTATTAGACTAAGTGGTTAGATGTGAATAAAAAAAATCAAGTCCTCCCCACAGGGGGCATTCAATGTTGGGCTGGAATCTCACCCTTTGGGTCGTTAGGCCCTGCGATGATAGTAATTATGCCGGGAGTGTCAAGTAGGAGTGTCAATTTTTGATTCGAACCAAAACTCAAAAATAACACGATTCGCTGACACGATTAATAAATGAGTCAAATTAAGGTTCGACACAAATAACACGATTAATGGGTACTGTAAATATAAAATAATTATTTAATGAGTATTTTAAATAAAAAATAAGAATTTTATAATTTTTTATATTAGTCGTTTGTCAAATTAAATAATTTTTTATTAACACAAATATTGACACGAACCCAACACGTACCGAAAGTGATACGACACGACACGAGTGACACTTCTAGTGTCGGGGAACTGAGCTATCTCATATCGGATAGCTTCGG